ATGCAGCCATAACATCACCTAAGCACCCAGAATGTTGTCCTCTATTTCAATAAATAACATCCCAAGCCATAGGCTGCACTTCTGCAAACATAAAGCCTTCCCCATGCCAATAGAAGGTGCCATGAAAAGCTGAAGAACCTTAAAAGCTGAATAACATGCCAGGGAAGTGAAGTGACTTTGCCGTGACAAAATCCACTGTGAGAAAGTTATTCAGCATCCTGCAGTTCACAATAACTTGCTTTCAAGTTCTGTAAGTCAAATTCACTGACAGCATCAGGCATTGATTCAGAACAAAAGAATATGAACTGAAATGGTAGAGAATGAATAATCTTTTGCATTCTTTTCCAATACAGCCTATACATGGTAAGGATTTTGCTTGAAGATTTGTTCTTTACTGCACCTTCTGTGACATTCTGAATTATGGCACAATAGAAAAACCAATTAAAATGACTACTGACCAGTTCTTTATCTGCCACCACATCATCTTCCTCCAGAAGAGATATTTCTACAGTGCATTATACATGAATTAGCGCTACTGTTCTAAATAAATAGATTACATTTGAGATCCTTTAGCCTTCAGCTTCAGAAGAAGGGTGAGCAAACAAACCATGGGTTTTATAAAGGCACAAAATAACTTATAAATATGTAGCATTACTCTAAAACCTAATCTTTAAGAGTTCCCCCCCTCCCCCCAGTTTCTGATCTTTATTACAAGTGACATGAACCAACATTTTTTTTCTGTTGGTCACCAGCCTCTGCATACAAGCAGAGACATACGCTGCTTATCACTCAGTTCTCGGTCATCCTGCATTCAAAACCTCTCACTGGAAGAACAGTAGTGTATGTGGACAAATAGACAACAACAGATCAAAGTTTTAAAGCACAGGGAAATTAGAGGATGTGTTAGCGTAGGACTTGACACATACACACTTGAACTTCTGGGAAGCTTAGATACAGTTTCACAGTTGACTGTTGTTTTGTATTTCCCACTTGACCACAGAGACACTACCACTGCAATAATTGGGCTCCTGGTGTGCTGAAACGACCACTTAGCCCTGAAGATCAAAGCTGATTGCTTTCTTGTATGCTCCATCTCATACATCTACTTTCTCTTTTCTTATTCTTTGACTGAAAGTGCTCTGATATCTTTTAATCCTTTTTTTTAATACAACGTTTACCATACACTGGCACTATAGTCCATAACTGATTCCTAAGCACTCCTGCAGCAGCTCAGATTAAAAAGAGAAACAAAAACTTTTGAGCTCAGAATGCTTGAATCCCGACCAAAACTTGAGACTTACGTATGCACTTTTCTTCACTCTTACCATGTATTCAGTAAGATTCGAGTAACCTCAGCAGAATTACCTAAAACTAACTTTTTCTTTAAAGTAATATGGTAAAGAATATGAAAATAATAACCAAAATATTTTGATCAAAGACAAAAGTGAAGAAAATATGAAAGGTACTTCTACTGTGGGAAAAAGTAGCACCTCCACATAATAGCCAATGATATAAAAGATCTCTTCAGATTTGGCTGAGAAGACCTTACATAGGGCTTTGTGTCTTACACAACCCTCCAAAACTTGTCACATGCAAAGTCACAGGATATATCAAAGCCTTTATTATACAGAACCTTCCCCCACTGATACAAAGGAATTCATACTGGATATGACAATCTGTATATCAGAGTTTCATGAGGCTGTTAGAAAAAAATCTGAAAGAAATATGGTCAGTTTATCATCTGACTTTGTCTCTAAACCATACTATGACAACATTTTATAGTGTCCTGGTTCCGGCAGGGATAGAGTTAATTTCCTACCTTAGTAGCTGGCACAGTGCTGTGTTTGGGATTTAGGATGGGAACAAAATTGATAACACACCGATGTTTTAGTTGTTGCTAGGTAATGCTTACACTAGCCAAGGACTTTCTAGTTTTCCATGCTCTACCGACTGAGAAGGCTGGAGGTGCACAAGAAGCTGGGAGGGGGCACAGCCAAACTGGCCAAAGGGACATTCCATACCATGTGACGTCATGCTCAGTATATAAAGCTGGGGGAAGAAGAAGAAAGGGGGGGACATTCAGAGTAGATAGTGTTTGTCTTCCCAAGTAACCGTTGCGCGTGATGGAGGAGTTTTTCTCACTTGTGCTTTTCCAATTCTCTCCCCCATCCCACCGGGGGTGGGGGGGAGGAGTGAGCGAGCGGCTGTGTGCTGTTTAGTTGCCGACTGAGGTTAAACCATGACATATAGTCATTTTCCAGAGCCAAACTTTGAGAGTTTTCTTTTCATTTTAATGATTTTTTTTAACACATCAGTGTTGTCTCATTTTAATTCTGAGAAAAAAGAAAGTACCTTCAAAGTCCCCATCTCTGGCTTTTGCTGCAAGTTCTGAGGATGATATACTTTCTTGACATAAAGCACAGTCTTCCAGTGCTGCATTCCTTAAGCCCTGATTAACTGTAAAACAAACCAAAAGTACAGAAATTCATATTTTTCCAATTTGCACTTAAAATATTCATGTTAGGACTTCTGGGATTAGATTACAGTAGCATCTATATGTACCTTCTTATACTTCTTGCTTTTTCTTTACCCTGACACAAACAGTGATTTAAAAGTCTCCTCTCCTTCTTTGGAATGACAACAGAAATGAAAGATGCTGTTATTACAGGACATAGTATCCTCTTACTTCTAGCAGTTTAGCTGCATCTTGTATTTTATTTCTTGGATCCTTTACAAAGAAGTAGATTATAAGAACAACCAGAGATTCCCTAAGTGAATCACACACATCAAATCACATATATCAAAAAGAAACTTCATCCCAAAAGTCCCTGAATTTTATTCGCTCATTTTGCTTATGCTTACTGTTGTCAACACCTTTTTTTTTTTTTAATGTAATAGTTCATCCATTAAAAATTATTCCAACCAAGTACTGTTGGCTAATACATTTCCTAGTGATAATTCTTCACAGCTCCAGTTTCTTTATTACTCTTATTTGAAGAGAGGGTTGTTTAGCCTGGGGTTGTTTAGCCTGGAGAAAAGGAGGCTGAGGGGAGACCTCATTGCTCTCTACAACTACCTAAAAGGAGGTTGTAGAATGTTCAGGAGCTCTTTGATCCTTCTCTTCAGCAATTCTGTCTAATTCTTGCCAATGAAAGCAGTCTCTTTTCACATTGTGATATCCTGCCACCATAAAAATGTTGTGGAAGTTTCAACCACAAGTAAGAAAGCACTGTAATGCATGTTGTGCATTATCCCACTGCAGAGTTGGGCTGGATTGAAGGTTTTTCTGCTAAATTTAACCAACTTTTAACTTAGTGTTTCATATGAAATCCTCAATGCTTTTAAATCAAACTGGGAGAAAGGGAAAGCAAAAGTTTTCAATCATGGGGGGGGGGGAGGGGAAAGAGAGCTCTGATAACCTTCAGATGCTGATAGTTCTAATCATAACAAAGGACAAAGGTAATTGCAGTCTTGCTGGGATGACATGGTTATTTTTAGATAAGTTAGCAGACTTCCCTCTTTGAAAAAGAAATAATCAAAATGGTGACAGAAAAAATTTCTTGGATTGGCTCATGATCTAGTTCTGGTTCCATTATCTTAATTATCTAGAATTCAAAAGTGGCTATTTTTCTATTTTGAAGCCAAATTCAGCATTCTGCAAGACAGGCCAGATTTCAGCATTTTCCTGAGCATTCTCATCTGTCTGCTCTTTTTACACAGCTATTTAAACTTCAAAGATACGTGTCTTGGTAAATTAAAATGTGTCCAGTGTGAAATGATACGGGGGGGGGGAATCTATGAAGTCCAAATATGGATATGCATACATTATGTTGTGCCCATATGGGCTACGAATATGGAAATGAGCAGATGCACTCTGAAGGCTTTAACTTTTTCAACATTTGACTCAAGACGTACACCTGTGTACCTATACTTCCAGTGACTTCAACCTGTTTACAGTCTGTTTCCATGACTTTTTTTTAAACTTAGGTCGAATCACTGTACAGTGAGTCCTGTCAGAGTGTTAACAAAATGTTAAGGAAATTTTTGTCAGATAGTTCATGGATCCACATGAGGTTACCAGCAGAAATTCACTAGAGAAAACTACTCTTTAAATCTCTTTACCTTTCTTTTGCTTTTCCTTGTCTTCTGTTTCAGGTTTGGTTGCCATAACCTCAAACAAGGTCTTTAAGATACTTCTCAGATCACTAGCATAGTTTGTCTGCAGCTGGTCAGCAACACCTAGGAGTTTGAGAAAACAGGTAAACCATTGCTAGACTATTACACCACCCTTAAAAAAAAAGTAAATTTTTCTGTTGCTACCAGTAACAGCATCATATTTATTTTTTTGAGGGGATCACCTGCTTGTGTTAGGAATAAAAATTGAACATTTAATTAAACTAATTTTCCATAATGGCCAAGTTACATTCTGGCCTTTATGCTACCTGCGATTTGATACATATCTTCCTTGTCCTTTGGCAGGAAACACTGAGAGATTGCTTTTGCATCAAAATACAACTGCTGCATCAAACTTCTTCCCTTGAAGACACAGGGCATCACCAAGAAAAAGGAAGCACTTTGAAGTCAAACCTGTTGCATGTCCAAACTCTTCATCACTACAGGTCTAAGATGTCTGCATCTCTGATTCTGTTAAGTCCCATCAGGTAACAGGTCTTTCTAGACCAGGCTGCAACTGAGGCCCCAAAACAGTCTTCCTGCAACTTCATCTCTAGTCCAATCTATCATAACTTTTTGTGCACCAAAAAAACCCCAAGGGTAAATAGTTTTTACATTTAGAACAAAAGGCTACTCTCATACCTGAGATACAGACAAAGAGGCGGTGAATAAGATCATTACTGCTATGAAACCTGGATCTGATCTTTTCTCGGGTAGCAATTTTAGCAGCCTGCAAAGCGAGCTGGATTTCTTCCTGATCGAGGTCATCAGATGAACAAGAACTCGTCATTAAACTACTGTCGGAGAAAAAAAAATTTGAGAAAAAGAATGTAAATCTTCACTCAGTTATTGAGGGTGTTCAGCAAATCCTAAGGGATTTATGACTCAGGCAAGACTCTATAGCAAACCGGAACTAATTGCTGTAAATTCTTGTTGAAGTTAATCAACATGCAATCAATCACCACCACGTTTGATTTTCACTCTGTGGTATAGCTGCAAAAAACTTTTAGGCTGAAGATCATTTGTCTGTATTTTATTGCATTTTCCTTAGCTATTACAAAGTGCCATGCCATTTTTCACATTAACTTCTTCTAAAAGCTCAGTCCTGAGACCATAACTCCAAAAATCCAAAAGGGGAATATCAACCTAAAAATGAGAAGGTCAGTTCTGAAGTCAACTTAGAAATTTATTAATGTGGAAGTTAATTTGAAAAAAGAATTTCTGAATTATGTTACCTTAAAATAGTGAGAATAGAATCTAAATATAGCCTTACATGAAAAAAAATGGAAAGAAGAGTGATAAAACATCATTTACACAGTAGAGAAGTAGATTAGTCCCCTTATATGCCTAACTGTAGAAATTACTGAAATGTCAAACTATTGTAACAGAATGGCTCATCAACTCCAAAGAGATTAAAATGTGTCACCAAATGTCTACTAGAGATTTAAATTTTCTTTTAAAAAAACAGATGCCCAGTTGCCAGCCATTTCCAGCCCCACCTCCTTATGGAGAGAAAGCCTGAAACAACCTGAGACTGCAGGGAAGCTTTGGTGGGAATCCAGCTTCTTCAAATATCAGGAATTACCTGACTGTTTGTACATCAAGATGTATTTTTGAAAAAAGGAAGTATTTAGGGAAAATGTAGCACTTTGCCAATGGAAAAACCCTTAATTGGGAGTAGAGCACAGGATGCAATTACACTGAAGTCCTAAGGATTCACTGTGTTGACCGAAGGAGACATGCCTTCTTACTCTACTACATTCAGAGACAGAGGAACACGAAAGCATTTTCCCCACATATCGGAGAGAAATTACTCTCACCAATGATTACAACAAACTAGAATATTTTACTTATAATCATACTTGGCTGTCCAAAACTCCAGCACTCTCTACTACGCAGACAACTACTATGTTAAAAAAAAGTTACTGACTACATAAATAGTATGCATAATGAAGGAAGTAGTTTCTAACACATTGTGAGTTCAATCTCTTTTTGTTAGGTGCTGAAACATTCACCACCTTGCAGATGCCATCCATATGGCAGTATGCATGAACAGTTATTGCAGGATAAGACACATAGGTAACATTTATAATTATTTATAACAAAATTTTATGGGATATAGTTTTGAAGTTCTACTTGTAGGCTATACAGGTAATCCTTTAAAAAGTAAAAATGAATTTATTAGGCCATACAATCTCAAAAGCCTGAGTAAAAACAGAACTGAAAATAAATAAATACTGGAGATTAGTTATTGATAGAAATATCAATGGAAAACGTGTAGCATGAGTACCTTAACTGGCTTCCCATTCTTTCAAAGACAGAGTAAAGAGCAGGCCTGCAAGAGACTCATTTTGTTCATGTTATCTATTGCTATTAACAAAAGCAAATTCTTGTAAAAAGATGTTAGTTCTAGGTTTACAGTTCCCTCAGCACCACGACTAATTAGGTTTATTAAAGATACTGAGAACCAAGTAAGAATTCTCTCTCAATTTTTCCTTTGCTTTTCCATAGGGGATATTTTATTTTTATATATATAAAAAATTAAAAAATAATAGCAAGCCTGTCAGTGTGGAAAGGTCTGTGTTCAAGACAATGAAAAGGTCATGTAAGAACACGGCTTACGAAGGAGTAAACTGAAAGGTAGTAAGAGCCAGGAAGCGATCCCTGATTCGCAATGGTATGCGGCAGATGATTACCTATTAGCACAAGTGCTCACATATACAGAAAAAGGAGTTTGCCTGCCTCGTAACATGGCCAAATAAGGTCTACTTTTTTTTCTTGTTTTTAAAAGAATTGATCTTACAGTGATATACACATTTGCACTATAAATTGCTCTCCAAGGCAAGCATTGGACCTCATGACAGAGACAAATGCAGTCTGTATGTAATTATACAATCCCAATACAATGGTCTCTTTGAAACTCCCAATAAGCAAAAACCTTAGTGCAGGGGAAAGCAGGGGTGCTGATTCAAGGATGAATCTTCCCTCCAAATCACAGTTGAAGAAATATTTCAAAGTAAGGTGTTAAGTGGGCAGAGAGCTGTGAAGAGTGCTTTTCAAGAATATAAACTGCTTAGTCCTTTCCCATTTTGCAGAAAGGAAGAAAGGCTCAGCTCATTCCACAATTCTGACCAAGCTCTGACCAATTTTGATAATAACGTTTGCCTTTCCAAGTCTCCTCCAACTGGGAGGAATGCAGTTTTACCTACTTCCTAATTCCTCCAAAGGACGTGATTTGACCTACTTCTGTTCCAGGCTATTCCATGTTAGATTTTGTGGTGTGTCATTAAGACCGGTCATGTCCCACCACAAGACTGGCTGGAACTTTTTGGTCCTAAAAATCCCTAGCACAGAGCGCACATGAATTGCTTCAGCACTGTGGGATGGAAGGTCAGCATGTATGCCTACTCCCATTTGTAACATACTCTCATATGCACAGTCACACATAAAGTATAATAGCCATATACAAGGAGTTCAGAAGAGAGGATATTTTGTATTCAGGATTGCTTGTGCCATGGGAAAGAGAAAAGTGAACATTCCAGAATAATTTAAAACTGGACCTAAGAATCAGTAAAGTTAGAAACAATTACTCTACCAACAGAGCCAACTCAGATTTAGACAAAAATGACTCTCAAAGAATGACTAACGACCATCTGTTCTTTACTTTAAAATGTATCTCACTGTTAAAGAATGTAGCCAGAAAATTAATATTGTAGAGGCAGTCAGAAATACTGTAAGAACAGAAACATAGCCGTGGTTTCAGATGAACAGCAAAAGAGACAGCTTTTCTTCTAACAGGGTATCCCAAACAGCAGTGATTGCAGCTATGCAAATATTAAAGATTCTCTCGATTTTTTTAAATTGATGCTATAGAAAATAAACCTGAATTTTGATCTACAGAGTTCAGCTTACCTTATGTCCAAATTATTCCTTCAAACAAGTTAATTTTTTAGTTCTATAAGGAATACCATTCCTACTTGGCTTATCTAAGATGCATAAATTGGCTCAAAATTCTCAGCTGATACCAGATGCGTAGGAAGCATTTCATTAATGTCAGACTACACTCAGATCTGAAATGTTTCACTGCCAATATCTGCAGAATCAAGTATCACTGCAGAATATAAGTAGCCATACTAAGTAGCTAGAGACAAGCCCTCATTTTCTCAAGTTCTTGGTTGAAGGGAACCCTGCATTACCCAAGGAATTAGGTTAAGAAGAGATAAGACCAAAATAAGCATGGAATTCCCCTTGTGAAATGTTTATCATATAAACAATGCTTATCATGTATTTATTTTTCATACTGTAAAAACATTGCAAAGTTAACACATCTGAAGGCGAATATCAAGAAATAAGGCATTATGTAAAAGCTTGATTCCAAACAGCAAACCTGCTTATACATTATAAAGGAACAGATACCCTCTGGCAGATACAATTAATTAGCTTCTTACCTAACTTGGCTAGCAATTTAAGAACTACTCTCCATTTGTCATGTTAGAAGAGTGGCAAGACTCTTTCAGCACTTTAAAGATGTATCTCTAGAACAGTTGCCTGGTGTCAAAGCTTGACTGTGAAATTTAGTCAAATATATACAAGCAAACAAACCCCAGTAATGTAATTGTACACCATATCATCTTTCACCCGTGGAACCAATCTGCTTTACAGCTTTTAAGTTCCAAAGGATACTTGTGAGCCAGGTTAAGCAGTAGTATCCATACATAATGGAAAACGGCACCGTGGAACGAGAAGATTATGACTGACATTTTCAGAAGTGGCCAGTCATTTTAGGTAACCATCTGTGATACTGTAGGCCTTGTGCTGAGTTTGTTGGGCATTGACACTCATCCAAAAGTTCTGCAGGCAAATCTATGTTACTATCCACACAATTTCTAAAACTGCTTCAGTAACTGGTACATTCATCCCACTGATACTCGTGTAGGCTGTAACTGGAAACCCCACCACTAACCTGTCAACCTGTCTTTCCCAAGCTATTACTCTTACTTTTATACTTCATAAGGCTGTAGTCAACTCTGGGTTCCAATTTGCAAAAAAAAAAGAACAAACAACTGCTCCAAAGGCCATCTAAAAGATCAGACAATAGTTGGGGAAAGACAAAGGTTGTATACATGAGGAATGACAAGAGGAAAATGATAGGGGTTTGGTATGTATGACTCCATGGCAATGAAAAAAAAAAAAATTACTACTTCCCATTCTGCTTTTTGCAGTACCTCTGGTGTTTCTTTTTGGATACTCCCACAAGAAACACAATAAACAGCAGGTTAAAACCCTTTGGTTTCTAACATGTACTGGTTTTGATATAGTTGGGAGGAAAATTGTGAGATTAATGGTTTTTTTACAATTATTTTAAGTGAAGGGGGTGGCTACACACTCAATTTGAGAGTAAATCCAGAACATGTCTTATTATTGGAGTAACAGCATATAGTTATTTAGCCAAGGACTATATTTTAAGGAATAACCCCAGAAGCTACATTTAAAGCAGGTTAAAAGAAGCTTTAATTCAGAACTTTATTTCTTGACTTTTTAACCCTAATATTTTATAAGTCAAGAGGGTTTCTAAATGCATTCCCTTATGTATTTTCTCTCTATTTTAAGATAAAAAGTTAAAGAGGGAAAAACCCCCAACCCATGAAGTGTTCCCAAGGCTTCAAAACTCTGTCTTGAGAAACAAATACAGCTCCATGCAAATCCCTCTAACAGGAACAATCTAGCTAGGCACCACCAGAAGGAGTGGACTTGACTAGACTACCATATTATCACATGTATTAGCAATGCTCAGCTC